ACAAATGCCATTCCGTTTTATTCATCAGTTCCTGCTCGTTTTTCACCAACAAAAATAACCCGTGATATTTTCTATGTGAGGGAATTCACTAAGTTCAGGTTACTAAGGACACATGTTAATTTTGAGGGACCAGAATCACTAACTTTCACTGATATGTCTCCTAATTCACCTTGAGGATTCAAATGTATGATCATCTACTAGGAAGCACCTACTGTTGATGCTGTTGATGAAAAGGTAAGACATTTTGTTTCCCACGGAAAACTCTAGTTCAAGGTGAGCAGATGCCTGCATGTGTCAGAAGTACAGTGTGCTAACAGATCAAGAGCGATCGAGCACCTCTTTCTGAAACTGACACAGTCCTGTTTCATCAAAAAGATCCATAATTTTTAAAAAATGCCTTGATGTCAACATACAATAACATCTTTTAAAAGTGTTTAACTGCTGACAGAAGATTTAGGATTCCCTTCTACTTATATACCAAATCATATAAGCAGGAACCACTCACCTAACCAGTGTGTAATTGCTTTCTTATCTTAGAGAAGTCATTAAAATATCTCCTTTTGGGAGGGGGGTGGTAGTAAGCACTAAATAATAAAATGATCACTAATACAATGCTAATACCATTATTGAGCCCCAACTCAAATGCAGAATAAAACCCTAATATCTAGACCCTAATATCTAGTCATTTCATCACATGCACTCCGGGCTACCAGATCTCCATTTTCCACACCAGTGGAAAATCTCTGCCTCAGATGAATTATTCTCACAGTTACATAGCAGAACCTAAAGAATCCTTGGAAACAGAATGTTGTTTGACTCTGGGGGTATCAGTCAAATGAAATTGTTAGGGGGAAAGGATGTCCTGAGCTAATCCCATACAGGCTTTGTGGACCCCACCTCCACTCCAGACTAAAGCCATTAAGGCATTGGGAAAGACAAATCCCGCCACCACTAAAGGGAGGGTGGCTGGGACCTGAGGGTGGAGTTGGGCAGCCAGGTTGGATATAAAAACCAAACACGTGGGCCTTGGGGGGGCTCGCTATCATTCGCCTCCTGGCTTCAAGGCTCCTGGCTCGCGGCCAGCTCTCAGAGTGCCATTTTGGGATTCCTGATCGGCGGATTGGGTAGGAGTCATTTAAAACTTTGTCTCCCACTTTTCTCCCTGAGCTGTACATTTTCTCATTTCCCCTTCCCTTGTAAATAAACCTTTTATTAACCTTTCGCGTGTGCCTGCAGTAGAGCATTGATAAGTCCTTTTAAGCGCGCGGGTGAGGACCCACAGTCAGGCACCCCGTTTTGTATTGGGGTTGCTCTACAACAGTTTGGAACCCAGCGTGGTTTCCAAGTTACACCCGCGGTTGACCAGCCCAAAGTAACATTCCTTGCGTTGGTCACCATAAGCGCACTAGTTCTCAAAGCCTGTATGGGATTAGCTCAGGACATCATTTCCCCCTAACAAAATGATAATACTAATAAGAATGGATGTAAACACAAATGCTTATCCTCTACTAAGTATGCATATAATATATTGCAATAATATAAAAACATATGTATGCATCATTTAAAATAAGTGGACCTCCCGGGTGGCACAGCGGGTTGAGCGCAGTGCTATGGAGCTGTCTGCAGCCTCTGCACGGTGGGTTCGACTCCCAGCAGGCCAGGGAAATTGCCACATGACGCAGCAGACCTTTCCTGTCCCACCCGCTGCTCCCCTCAGCAGTGTATTTCAGTGGATCTGCCTGTTCTGTTCCCCACTCTGTCTCTGGTGAATCTTCTCACCCTCCTGCACCTCTGGCCTGTACCCCAGCTGTTGTATAAAAAAATAAAATCTTCAAAAAAATAAGTGAAACCACACATACATTTAATAACTTTGCTAAACCAGCGAGTTATAGGTGCTTTCTCCAACTTTATTTTCAAAATCTCTCAAATAGTCCTTCTTAAATTTAAAACATTTAAAATTGATCACATAGTTATCTAGTAATAGTTGAGAGCACTTAATATGAATTCTGTAGCAATATGAAAACCTCATAAAAACTACAAAAAAAGTTGCCTTTAACAACCAAAGAAGAATTTATAAACAATTCGGTAATTTTTAAAAGCCATTATGTTCCAAAGTTTAAGAATTTTAAAATTATGTCTCATCTACATTATTTCTGTGGTTTAAGAAAGGTATTTCACTCGGTTCTAAAAATCAGATCCACAGGTTTCAGAGTTTCCAATGAAATTTGACTTAGCAACTTTCATAAATTGCAAAAGAAATTTAAAATTTTTTAATTCCATGGGTTTTTAAAAACCATTTAAGAATAATGCATCAAAACATAGACACTCTGAATTCCTTGTTTTAAAGGTACAAAAAGGGGTTTAAGTACTAACAATAGGCAAGTAATTTACATTGGCTGCTATGTTTTGACATGAGTTCCAAAAAACAGGTTTATCATTACAAAAGCTTTTCCAACCATATACAACAAAGGGAAAATCACAAAGAGCTTAATTTTTGCAGGAGCAGGGACTTTATCAAAGCATTCCAGCTCCAATTTAGTGTGATACACAGTGTTAGAATAGGGAGAAACACACAAATACCAAAAATATTTAACCAAAGGACATGCTTATTTTCTTAGTAAAAGACATTTCTGGCTATTAGAGACTATTTCAATCTGTCAAAAGGAGCAAACGAAAGAGGATAGTTGTACTGTTAGGGGGAAAAGGATGTCCCAAAGCAAATTCCATATAGGCTTTGTGGACTCCACCCCCACCCCAGGTAAAAGCCAAAGACACTGGGAACTCCAAATCCCATCACCACCAAAGGGAAGGTGGCTGGGACCTGAGGGTGGGGTTAAGCAGCCAGGTGGATACAAAAGGCAGACACGTGGGCTTTGGGGGCTCTCTCCATTTTTGGGCTCTCGGCCAGCTTGCAGCTCCGGCCAGCTCTGAGAGTGACTTTGGGTTTCCAGGTCTTCGGATCGGGTAGGACGCATTAAAGACTTTATTTCCCTATTTTCTCCCTGAGTTGTACATTTTCCTTATTTCTTTTTCTCTTGTAAATAAACCTTTTATTAACCCTTTTGTGTGTGTCTGTAGTAGAGTATTCATAAGTCCCTTTAAAGCGCGCGGGTGAGGACCCACAGCCAGGAACCCGTTTAATATCGGGGTTGCTCTATAACAGCTCTATGTACAGAAGGAATATTTTAAACCTTAGATGACTGACTCTGGCTGAAAACCTAAGCAACATTTGGACTTCCCTTACTTTGTCCATCATACACTTGTGTGCAATTAAATGCCTTTCAAGGATAATAGTATGAGCTGATGTTCCTGGTACTTTCCTGAGTCAGATACAACACCTTACAGGGAAAATAAAAGAACCCTTGAGGGGTAATCTCAAATACAAACAGACGTCTTTCTCTTAGGCAAAATCTTTCATTGTTATTATTTAGGGTTAGATTTAAATGGCTTGGGCTTTTCAGAGTTTCAGCAAAAGAACAAACTCATTTTACCTTGGTATCATTTTTTAGAAGTTTACTTTCAAAATAAAGGTTTCACTAAACCAGTTTACAAATCTTTTTAAACTTCACAGATTATAATCAATATGCAAATCCATTCAGTAAGGACAGGTTCAGGAATAAGCTGCATTTTCTCCATACAATTGTTAGGGGGAAGTGATGTCCTGAGTTAATCCCATACAGAATTAACTTTGTGGACTCCACTCCCACTCCAGACTAAAGCCATCAAGACTCTGGGAAAGACAAATCCCATCACCACCAAGGGAGGGTGGCTGGGACCTGAGGGTGGAGTTGGGCAGCCAGGTTGGATATAAAAAACCAAACACGTGGGCCTTGGGCTCTCTCTGGCTCGCGATCGCTCGCCTCCTGGCTTCACCGCTCCTAGCTGGCGGCCAACTCTGAGAGCGCCATTTTGGGATTCCTGGTCGGCGGATCGGGTAGGACGCATTTAAAACTTTGTCTCCCACTTTTCTCCCAGAGCTGTACATTTCCTCATTTCCCCTTCCCTTGTAAATAAACCTTTTATTAACCTTTCACGTGTGCCTGCAGTAGAGCATTGATAAGTCCTTTTAAGCGCGCGGGTGAGGACCCACAGTCAGGCACCCCGTTTTGTATCGGGGTTGCTCTACAACACAACTACAAATGAAATTAAAAGACCATAATGGTGACTGAAACAGAATTTTATGTCTCAAATTAATTCACCGTCCTCATGGAGAAATACAGTCTTTTCAATCTTTCAGGTGAAACAAAATGAAAAAAGGCAGAGGAAAGGCTAGAAATTACTGGCACTTTCAGGGCAGACATTGATACCGCCTCAGAAAACGGTCAAAGGCAGTACTGCCTGAGAAAAACAAACCACCACCCACCAGTCATGTGGTGTAGTTCAAATTCAGAATATTTCTTTAAAAAAAAAAAAAAAAACAAAACTAAGAAACCATCTCTGCTTTACATGTTAAACAATTCCTGCCATTAAATAGGAGATTTTTTTATAGCAGCTTATAGAATCAAATCTGTACAGTAATATTTCACAATGGTATTCATCCTTAGCAACCAAAAGAAGTTGTTGAAGAGAAACTCTGAAAGTCTTTTTCAAAATGATTTTACTCTTTAAGTGAGGAACTGGAGGAGGGATGATTAGGATCAATTACAAGAGAGAAATCACAAAACCTTATCTACAGCAAGATTAGAACTTTTGCTGCAAGGCATTTATCCTTACAAACATACAGAAGGAAAGGGAAGTTTGGTACAATTACTAGATACTAAACTCTGACTTATATAGTCACTTATTTCAGCGGGTCTTATATTAAAATTAATTCAGAAATACAAAGGTATCCATGGAAATTACAGGGAAAGGAAATTTCAATGGGAATATAATCTCATCTCTCACAAAAAACTAGGTATTTTTCCCACAAATAACTCAATGAGAAATAATTGCATGAACTTATTACTATAAAATACAATAAAAATTGAAGTTACAATTTATATTGTATACAATCTCAAAAATTTTATGAGGAATCAGGGCAAAATCAACTGAATATGGAAAAGATAAAGCTATCTGTTAGGCGCAGGAATAATCTCATTCCTAGAAATACAAAGTTATCAAAATTAACTCCCACTATGCCACTGCTCTGGGTGTTTCCTTGATGGTAGAGGAAAAAAAGGAAAAAAGAAAAAAAAGTAATTCCCATTCATGTTTTTGCCAAACTTGTATTATATAACTTCCAGCAGCAGTGGAAGTTATATTTTGCCCTCAAGTAGTACTACTACTGAAAAAAGGGGCTCTTGAATAAATGTACTTCCACTGGCTAAAGTACTTTTATCATCAGAAAATACAAAATTCTGAACAAAAGCCATTACAGAGAAAGCATTCATTACATCACACCAGAAGCAAGAAATTCTGATGTATAAGGTGACTCACAGTGCAATACCTTACTTTACCTGTACATGAACTCTGGAAAAGCTAAACTTGAAAAATACCAACAGTAAAGATCACTGGTGAGCAGAAAACAGTGGTTTCCCCTCACCGATGCAGCAAAAGCAAGAAAAAACCCGAAAGTTACATTTTAGAGTCTTCAGATGTAAAGAATGTTCCCTATAACGTAAGAGGGAAACTCTTGGGCCCACAGCTAATATCCTAAGAAGCAAAGGGGAAAGGAGACAAAAATAAAATCAAGAGTAATAAAGGTAAACGTATAAAAAACCTGAAGAATTTAGAGGCTCTTATGAGATAAATGGTGACAGAAAAGAAATTCTAAACTGTGGGTAAAATGGAAATGAGAACATGTTGAAATGGGAGAAGGCTGTGCAAGGAAGCCATTGGCACAGACGCTTCACTCTAAGGGAGATATGGATGTTCACTGCTTTAGAAAGAACATCTACTACTCCTTACATGCTCATTCTCCTTACACATCAGAGTTGAAAAAAAAAAAAAGAGAAAGAATCCAACTAAGGGAAGACCTCTACATCTGAAGATAAAAGGTAAGCACACTTCGGCCATCATAAAGTGTTACAACCAAGTTTTATTGCAATCTGCTAAAGCAGTGGCATATAAAATCACCTAAACACATCCCTTTAAAAGCCTTTCCTCGACCAAATACAAATGACGTAAAAGCATTTCTGAGGCTTGTTTGAAAACAGCAACAATAGCAGAGCCTTAGGGAAAGTTTCCTTTAACTTTCTTTTAAATGTCAGGTTTTTCGTGAATAACCCCTGAAATCCTTCAGGGTTACCAATGCCATAAAGAATCCTTGGCCAACATTTATCTGCTTTTAAAATGGCAGCCCTTCCTCCTTGGCCAACCTGAACCACGTGCGACCAAACGGTGTGTCCCTGTTCTCTCCCTGAAAGAAAGGTCAAAAATTACACCCCAAGAGGATTCAGTATGAGAATAAGCTGCATGAAATTCTCATTAAACAGTAACGCACATTTCCAGGGGTTTCATCACCTGCAGAGTCATTAACAAGCAGCCTTCCAGTTGCCTAGACAGTTCAGCCAACTGCCGAAGGAAACAGGGGAGAAGAAAGGTGCTCAGTACAGGCTGTGGGTATTGGTGCTCCGAGGGGTCTTGATCTTCTCTATGTTCTTGAGGATCACGTCGTGCAAGGTGGCGTACTGGTTCCGCACGTGCAGCAGGATCTGGCGCACGCTCAGGTACTCGTTCTCGTCGACCTCCGCCACGGTGCGGCGGTAATCTTCCACCTGCGGGTACTTCACTATCTTGGACACCAACTTGGCCCGGGTGTTGTAGTAGGTAGAGAAGCGGCGCAGGTAGGAGGCTGCGGTGCTCTCCACGGTCCACAGCTGGTCTACGGTGTCTTCCTGGATGGACACTCCAAAGTTGTTGCCGTCCTCCACCTTGGGGATGAGCAGCTGCACCCATATGCGCACTGTGTTGCATTTCTCTCGTAATAGCTCGATCTCGGGTTTCACCTGCTCTATCAGCTCCACCAGATGCTGGTTGCTCCGCAGCACCTGGCCCTCGCCACCTGGCAGCATGGGTGCTTTGACCGAAGCCTGCGTCTGCAGAAGCTGCGGCTCCCGGTTGGGCCCATCGCCGGCGGTGTCGGGGACGGCTGGGGGCGCCGGCGCTGGCACTGAACGGATCCTGGACAGGTCCTGCAGGCGAAGCTCCTGGACCCGACTGTCCAGCTCGGAGAGCTTCTGCGGGAAGAAGGTGGACACCAGGTCCTCGGCTTCCTGGGCAATGCGGGTCCGAAACGACTCGACCTTACCCTGCACATCCTGCTCCGGCTTCAGTGGGGAGGCCATGGCCCCCAGGGAGGCCGAGCGTTGGCTGGACCGCACCTGGACGTCCCTCTCCTCCGCACGTGGGCTGGGCTTGCCACTACCTCCAACTCCCAACAGATCGCGCCCCACGCCGGAAGTGACGCCCGTTCGTGCCCGCAGGAGAGGGAGGCGCACGCGGGTCCCGTTCTTCCCCAGGAGCCCACTATCCCCGGAACCAGAGCAGAGAGGTCGCGCTCCAGGGGTCCGGTGACCTGCGCTGCCCCTCTCCCGGCGACCGGCTGGCCCCGGGCAGCCTAAGCACCTAAGACATGGCGACCCGGGACACTCAACAAGGCCGTGCCCGCAGGTCCAGGCGCGGGACCTATGGGCTTGGAAGGCACCTTCCTGAAACCGCTGCTCCCGGAGAAACCCAAGTCACCTCCACGGGTAGATTGGGGCTGTCGATGCTTTTTCACTAGAAAGTTGTTGGTGGCTCACGCTAGTGCAGCATTTCAAACTGTTCATCAACTTCCGAGGCCTTTTATGGCTTACTCCAAACACTTAGGTTTAAATTAGGAAGTTATGTGACTCTTCTTAAACGCAGCCTTTGGGAGATAATTAATATAAGTTGAATCTGGTCTGGTAATGGGTCCTGGTCAGATTTCCTGAATTTATTCCTTAATTGTGGTTCCACAGGGGAATATCCTTGTCTTTAGGAAATACTAGTGTATTAAGGCAGAAAGTGAGGTACTTAATTTATTCTCAGATGGCTCAGAAACAGTGTACCTGTGTGTGTACAAAGATAATGCTAAAGCAGGTGAAGAAATGTTTAAAAAAATAGATCTGTATAAAGTATGTATAATCTGTATAAAGTATGTATAATGTTCAGTATTATTCTTGTAACTTCTATGTAAATTTGAACTTATTTCAAAATAAAAAGTGGGAAAAAAAAACCCTGCTTTTTCCTTAAAGTATTTGGGAATCATAGGCAAATTCTGTAATTCTAAAATTTCACCCTACATATTTATGTTCATTTTCTTTTTTTCTGAAATCCTTCTGATCAGTTCCTTGCAACAATGCAGGACTAAAGGCCATGTCTATGATTTTTATACTACAATGATCAAAGTTTAGTTCAAAAATGATTATTCTAAAGATGTAGTATACTTTCCTATGCAACTCTCACCCCCCTTGGGCTGCCCTTCCTAAGGGGCAGGAGCCAAATCTTAATTTGTTTTCATTGCATCTGGCACAACGCAGGGCGGGAAGCAGGTGCTCAATAGGTGTCTGATGAAATGATTTTTGAATTGTAATATTTGGGGTAGTAATAAATTCAAACTGAAAGGAAAATATCAACCAGACTGGGAGACTGCTTACAGGAAGTATATTTAGGAGTGGTCTAGAAATGAGTGTTTTTTTTTTTTTTTTTAAAGATTTATTTATTTATTCATACAAGCACTGGGTACAGTCAGAAGCTTGGGAGGGCGAGAGATTCACCAGTGCCAGAGCGGGAAACAGAACAGGCAGACTGACGAAATACACTGCTGAGGGGAGCAGGGGCGGCAGGAGAGGTCTGCGCGCCATGTGGGACCCTCGCCCGACGGCCGGGGATCAAACTGACACAGCAGAGGCTGCGGGCAGCTTCGCAGCCCAGTGCTCAACCGCTGCGCCACCGGGGAGGCCCCTAGAAATGAGTGTTCTTGAAATAAACCCCCATGGAAAGGACAAGATAAAATAGTGGGAAAAAGTGAACTCTGATGCAATCTCAAGTCCTCAACTGATCTCATGGGGCAACAGCAAAGGCCTTTCAGAAATGTCCAGAGTTGGGGACAAGGCATTTCCTTAAGATGGCTGTTTGGGAGCAGGGCTTCCAGCAGTTGGGAAATACATAGTAAATCCCCACTTAAACTTGTCACTAGGTTCCTGGGTACTGTGACTTTTAAATGAAATGACATATAACCAGATCCTCAAATAAGGTCATTTTGATCAATGCCAGCCGCTTCATAAAACATGAAACCTTTGAGGCCCTGCTGCATCCTTCATTCTGAGGGAGACCTGAGGAGCATGTCATAGCTTCATTCACACATGTACCATGTTAGGACACTGAGTCTAACAAACTAGCAATTTAAGTTGTATTCAAGTCAGTTATGTTCATTCCCAGTTAGTAAATTCAAAGATGGTTTCTGTGTTCAAATCACTTCATGTCTTGTAGGGATGTGACATAAAAGGATGCAGTGGAAGGAATTATGTTCAAAGGTGGGGGGAGGGGATAAAAGTATATATATATATGCATATGGGGTATATTGGGGAGTTACTGCTAAATTGGCTCTTAAGATTTTAAGGGAAAGTGGCAGGAAATAAGAACGAGTAAGCAAGGATTCATTCATGCAGGCAGGGCCCCAATTTGCCAGGCTTAAGGAACTTGGGTTTAATAAAAGACATTGAAGGTATTTAGGCAGGGAAAAATACACATATGGATGATTTTGTGGAGGAGGTAGATTTGAAGATGAAACAAAGAAGAGAGACTGGTGCCATAAACCAAAGTAAAAATATGCCTTATTTAAGGTAGTAGCAATGGGTAACCAGAAGCCATCAAGAGCGTTTTAGGAAGTAAAAATAACAGCAATGGATACTTTTGGATGTGAAAAGATGAGGAACGGCATAACCCTATATTATGTAAATTTTTTCTTTTTGTTTATGAAAAACTTCTATTCATACTCTAAAGATTTCTATTATATATCTCATAAATCTATTAAATCTCCCCTAAGGGGTGAGTTAGCTATATCAATATATACATTTTTACACACACGTTTACATTCAATTTGAGGATTTAGATAGGGTTATCAAACAGAAAAGGAAACTCAAATATTGAAATAACGACTACAGTTTTCCCCATCTTGATTTCTTTGTAACTCTGGCCATAAAAACTTAGAGTAGAGCTTTTGTGAAAATTTTCATTTATACCAAAAATATCCTCAATGGTATATGTAGTTCAACAAATGGTTACTTTATTTTCAAAGATAAAACATTCCTAGTTATTCTTTTAAAGAAAGGGGGACATTTTTTTTTCTATTTACAACTTGATTCATGAAAATATTTATATGAAATTATTCTCTTTAGTTATCTAATGAGAGAATATAAAATCCTTTGGGGGATTCAGCTGTTCTTTTTTCTGGTGTGATGCAGGAATTTAGTTATTCATAATATGGCTCCTCTCCTTGCTAATGAGAGTAGCAGTTGATAGGAAAATAATAGCTCCTAACTTTTCTACCCCAATTCACCATCACCAATCAGCAGTTGTTTTTAAAAAATATTTAATGCACTTGCATGTCTTGATTTGACCCATGACATTATTAACACTGAATGCTGACAGGTGGAGGAGACCCAGAGACAGCTGTGTACAGAGTGTTATCTTGATCAAGTCAGTGTCACCATTGTCCACAGGCCAGCGGAGTTTTTCACGTCCTGATGCCAAAATCTGATACATCATTCTTCTTTTTGGAACACCTACAGATTCATGGATTGATTTATCCTTTACATATTCTTGAGCTCTGAAATTATGCCTCGTGAAGAAGGGATTCTGGGCTCCTATTTGAGTTCCATTTTCACAACTATTCTAAACAATTGTTGTTCCAACTACTAGCCTTAAATGTAACCTTGAGATATGGGTTGGAATTTAGTCCTTCAAGATACTTTTTCTTCCACTGAGTTCTATCTATGAAACTTAAGAGAAATATAATCAAAGAGACTAAGTATAAATGATCTCAAGACTCTGGCAGGTGGTAATATTTATCTCCTCATATTTGTGAACATGTTCACCTCCAGGTTTCAATGGATCTTAAGTTATCTACAGCAAATAGCCTAGTAAGTAGCCATAAAGTATTTAGTTTTACAATGTAGTGACTGAGAACTCTGCCAGACCAGTTTCCAGGCTTGACAAATACAACATCACTTCCCCTTCCTTCTCCTGCCTCCTTGACTGCTTCAGGTACACCGAAAGAAAGAAACAATGCAAAGGTGCTCACTGCACTGTTCTTTCTGTCATTAAGTTGTCAGTTCAACATGTCCAGAATCAGTCTCTAGACCTAATGTGCTCATGCCTTTAAGAAGAGAAGCGGCAATAGAGTACTGTTGTTAACTAAGAGTCAATCTGCCATGTTTAAATCCTGGCTTTGCGGCTTTCCACCCACATGAAACTGGCTGTGTTATTTAGCTTCTCTGTGCTTTGCTTTTTTCATCTGTGAAATAAGCATTATATTCTGGCTATCTAGAATATAAGCTGTTTTGAGAATTAAGTTAGTTAACACAAGTAAAGAATTTCACAAAGTGTGTACATGGTAATTTCTCAATGAATGTTACCTATTATTGAAGGAAAGTCTCTCTATCAACAGTCCAGAATCTTCCTTCACCCACTGAAATAGAGAACTGTGAATTCTATACAAACAAAACAAGATAAATTTTCTTGTTCACTATCGTGTTATTTAGCAGTGATGACTTGTACTACAGAGATGAGCATAAGTAATTTTTTAAAACTAACTGTTTTCAGAGATCATCAGTAATTGGGCATAGGTGAAGTAAGCACAAAGTTTTTGGCTATCATGGATGGAAAGTGAATTTATGAGCAGAACCCCTTCTGGCAATAGCCATGTCTTCATCAAGTTCACATTATTCCATCTCATAAATTACCTAATTGGCATAATTAAGTAACAGTCTACTCTCAAGAAGCATTATGATCATTTATTTTAACAAAAATCTACAGATTTCTGGGTCCTAGATTCTTGACTTTTTAAGATGATTTTGGTCTCTACCCAAGACATTGATGGATTCCTTATTTAAAAGATGCTTGTACTGGGTAAACAATTATCTGCCTTTCTCAAATTAGAGTCCATCACTTTCCTATAATTATTTGTATATGTCCATTTTGATGATAAAATAATTGATGTAAGCATATTCTGGGTCATATAACTTCCATGCAATTTTGAAATTAACAACTATATATTTTTTACAATTAAGATGGCACCAGATACTTCTTTAACTGATTAGAGATAGTAGAGCCTATTAGGTATGATTACCCTATATTCCCTTTGCCCAAGCAACTGTTAATCAGATAGAACCAAGGTTTTATTAGTAGTTCAAATAGAGAAAATGGAGGGGGAATTAAGTTATTACAAAGTACTTAGTAGTAGGGAAATACTTAATCAGTATTGAAAGGAACTGAA